ATTTCCTTACTCTCCCAATACTCTTTTAGGAGTCAAAGGATTATAAATAACAAACAAGCGAATTATGCTCTATATTTCACCCTTTCTTTAGAAGAAAGAGGACTTACAAGTAAGCAATTGTATTATTGGGTCTTGATACTATTAAATATATATAGAGCTAGCTAGTCCATCCTTCTACATCTTTGATACTAGATATGTATGATATACAGGAATTTGTTGACCAATATTTTTGTCACCTGTAGGACCTAGAGACGGTGTAGTTCAAACAAATGCCATGGCATCTTTTTCTTTTTCCTGTTACTGAATTGAAAAGGCCAAAGGGGTTTTCAAACAACAAGAAAAAAGAGCATATACTCACGTTAATAAAGTCAGACTGTAATACAAAACAGGAATGAAAGGAAAATTTTATTTGTCCTATTTTTTTTTTTTTTTTGGTCACTCCTTTGTTTTGTTTTCATTCCTTTCACTGCAGTGAAAAAATTTTCCTCCCTTCTGTTATTTCCTACTTAACTTCTTTTTACATTTTTTTGCTTATAGAGACAGAGTCTCACTTTATCACTCTGGGTAGAGTGCTGTGGCATCACAGCTCACAGCAACCTCCAACTTTTGGGCTTAGGCGATTCTCTTGTCTCAGCCTCCCAAGTAGCTGTTCTTTTACATGTTTTGACTTTACCTCTCAAAGTTTTGCTTTGCTGCCTCCAGGTTTATGTTGAAAATAGAGGCTGGAGATCTAGCCTCGATTCTTTTAAATGCTTAACACCCACGTGACTTTTGTTCACTCTTTCTCCATCATTATTTATCTCCCGTCCTATTCATTTCTCCCTATTCCCCACTGCCTTTGGTACTATTAGTAGGTTCCTAAGGCTGAGAAAAGATTCACACACTACACGGTGCATTCTTACCCAGGCTGTCTGTATTCAGGCCTCAGATTCTGAGGGAGTCAGGGTCTTTCCACTTTAGCCAAGAGGCTTCAGAAACTGATATCAACAAATAAGGTCAATAGATCCTTATTTTGTCCATTAGTCAAATCCAGCTTGATTCAAGCAAGAAATATTTTGAGGAAAGTGCTTATTTATTCATCATAACAAATGCATTAAGACATTAATAGCTTGCACTTTGGAAAGGCAATGAAATTGTTTTTTCAAAATTATGACTTATTATTGGAAATAAAACTATATCCAAGAATCGCTCACTTAATTATCAAAAGTAATATAATGCATCTCTTAAAACCTGACATATCTAAAATGGAAAGGGTAAGAAATCAATTTTTCAATTGCCTCAACATTCCCATTGATGCCCCTTACTAAAAGCACTTAAAGTATGGTCATGGCTAACCTGCCTCTCCTTTTCCCATTGTGTCATCCAGAGTATTTCTCAAGTATTTGGTCATTATTTGACAAATACTTTTCTAATAAAAGAAAGGTGACTAGCCAGGTTTATACAACTTTAAGCACAAATTGAAACAAAAGTTGGGCTCCCAGTGTTCTCTTACCACATATGAATACTAAATGTTAAAGCTGAACCATACCGAGCAGCCTCTGGTAATCGAGGCTCTTCAGTTGCCTGCAGGTGCCAGATAAACTTGAGTTATTACTTTAAGTTGATGCTCCTTCATGAAAGCTTCGCTGACTTTAATCTGAAGGGGGATTTTTATGTACAGTTTAGATACAAGACTCTGATAATGAAACTGGATGGTGTATACGCATTGTCATGTGTCTTTCGCCAACACATTATATAACTAGAGTGAAATGAGCTCTAATGTATTGAGAGCATATTATTGAGAACTTGAAACCACAAAATATCACAGACCTAAAGATAAGAGGGCTCAGGCCACAGTTGAAGGTTTCACCACAGGCCTAAAATGTAATCAATTTTGAATGTTGTTTTTGTTTTAATTTTTAGTGAAATTCTGTAGAAAAGAGGAATTCTGGGTATTTCTCTCACAGAATGACATTGTGTTCTCTTCATTTAGAGACACAAAGTCTAAGGAGGTGATACAACCTTCAGGGCAGAGAGAAGGTAGAATCAGCAAGTGAGAGTGAATCTGATGCAAGTTTTGAAAGGCTGGTTAACAAATCTAGGGCAAGTACGGCAGTGTCTTCAGTTTTCTGTTTAGAATTTCATGCTCTGGGAAGGAGATAATCTAACATTAACAC